TTTAATTAAAAATAACAATGGCAGACGAATATCGAGCTTCCAAGGTCATGGCAGACACTTTAAACATTGATAAAAATTATAATCTTTAAAAGTATTTTATTATATCTGATCTTTTGATATGTTGTTTATTGAACTATTAAAAGCTTATAATTACCTCGGCAGACGTTTTCTCCGTGGATAATATCTTGGCAGACATCAAAAACTTACCTACTACCCGAGCATACCCATAGTTATGTTGTATAGTCATCTTTTTTCTCTTTCATATAATACTATTATATTCTGTGTAACGTCTCATTTGTGTTTTTACGGTTATGATTATTTCTTGGAGTTTATACCTAGTTTTTTGGTCGTGTTCCCTTGGACAAAAGTACACTCGGCCTAACGGTTTTTGTCACATGTTTTTAGTTTATTTCAGTTTATTTCCGAAATTCGATGTAGAAGCCTCGTGTTATACAAAACAAAGTATAGTGAAATAACCTAATTCTATGAAGTTTTATATTATTATTAATATAATTTCAATATACAATATAATTATTAATATATTTTTGTGAATACGGATGTGAATTTATTATTATTGATATACTTTTGTGAATCCAACATTATGTCTGCCGAGTTAAAGTGTCTAGCCTTATGCCATTTGGACGGTGGTATTTGCAAAACCGACAAATCAACTTTGGTAAATTCTCTGGAACCAACCGTTGACCATGAGTCTCCGCGTTATACTGACGTATTTTTAATCGATGGCTTCTTTATTCTTCAGTCCAAAAACATTCGGAAATATTTCGAAAAAATTTCTCCAAATGATCACCAAATATCCAGGTCAAAGAATAGATGTAATCTTCGACCAATATTTACACCCATCGATAAAGGACAATGAATGATGTCTACGACACGAAGCACCACCAGTCGATTACAAAATTTCTGGACCTGATCAAGTAAAACCTGCTGACTTTACAAAAGAAATGAAAAATACTAAATTTAAAGAAGCACTTATCGATTTTTTTACTATTCATTGGGCTAGTGATGAAATCGCATCATTTCTGGGTAGTAAATAGATCCATTAAGTTGTTAATGGCTAATAAATTGCTCAGCAAAACCAAACCAAACCAAAAGTTAGGAAAGAAAAATTAAAAGAGGTAGTTGTTGGAGGATTGGTAAATTTACTTACCAAAGAAACGTTTACATTCTTTGACCGATTTAATATAAAAACAGATTTCCTAAGACAACATCCATACACCTGGCCTCAAAATAATGACTTCCAAGAAGGATTGAAAATTGTCAAAACATTAAAAGTAGCTAATGATATGGCTCAACGTGGTGTTAAATTAATAACCGACTTTAACGACCTTCTGACAAAAGATGAAGACCAAAAGCAATATATCCTGCAAGTTGTAAGCAAATGACGAGCATTATATCCTGACGTTTCAAAAACTACTTTAACAAAAGCTCTAGAATAGAATAGATAACTATGTAAAATTATCAACTCATGTAGGTACTACGTCTGTATCTTTTCTGTGTCTGTTTTGTATGTATTATATACCTGATTTTTGTATTTTAAAATAAAAAATGTCATTAGACTTATCAGTATTACTTGTTTTTTTTATTATATTTCCACTTTAAACTCAAAAATATATCAAAAAAAGCAAAATTTATCACTTAATAACAAAATATACGAAGTATGTTCCTAGTGGTACCAGGTCACGTTTTTGGGGCTAAAGGCTGTTGTAACTTGGTTTGACTTAAAATAACAACAATTATGTATAGAATATAAATTTTGAAGAACAACATTAGCTTTCTTATGAGATATTAAGCGTGTTTCTATTATTTACCGTTCTGGAGTTATGGCTCCATATGTCAGCTTTTTGGCCAAAAATTTGGATTTTTTCAAACTTCGAGCGACGAACGGCACGGGTTAACGTCGTTTAATCGAGCTCAAATTTCGGCTGTCTCAATATCCGGAAAGGGGAATCGTTTTGTGGGGTCCAGATGAACAAAATTCCGACATCGATTTTTTGCGGTCACCCTAGTAGTCATGGATACTTTGTCAAACATTAGTCGCCAAATTGCTAATTGAGTTCATTTGTGACTGTTCGTGTGTTCAATTTGTCGAAAACTAAAAATGGAATCTAATGAAAATGAAATATTGTTGAATAAACTTTTATAAATTAAAACTTTATTAACTTTTAACCTAAGGATTAAAAGTATCAACTTTAGCTTCTAGGATTAAAAGTGAATAGTTTTGTTGCTAAGCATTTTTTTTCTCAGTAAGGAAAATGTCAACCTTAGAGACTTCTGACAGTCAAAAAAGTATGTTTGTGACTGTTGGGGAAAAAAGCTTTTTTTTTGTAATTTTGGCATAGAAAACATTTAAAATAAGCGTTGTATCATACATTATATTTAAAATATAACTCATTCTATTGAACAATTAGTGAATTAAATAATCATTTTTAAAATTTCTGATTTTAAATTTCAAATCAGTATGCAAGCCCATTATTCTTATAGCAAAATCTTATTTTTTATTATCGAGTGAAAAAAAAACAAGAAATACAATTTCTATTTTTCAGCAGCATGGCTCCGGATACTTCACCGACCAATTTAGAACACAAGAAAGTTCCCGAAACGAGTATGTACAAATGTGATTCGTGTGATTTTAAAACAAAACACAGGGATGATCTTAAGTGTCACCAGTTGAAACATGCGGACCTTTCAAAAATTGAAAATAACAAATGTAACGCATGTGATTTTGTGGCCATATGTAATTCGAAACTGAAGGACCACCAATTGAAACACATGGATCCTTCCCAGGTGGAGATGCTCAAGTGTTATTTGTGCGATTTTGAGACTAAATACAAGAACTGTATGGTACGTCATCAGTTCCAACACTCAGATCCCTCAAAAGTGCAAATGTACCAGTGTGATTTGTGCGACTTTAAAACGAAATATAAGAACAATTTTAGGTCGCATCATGTGAGAGTCCATGATAAGTCCTCAGAAGAACGACTGTTCAAGTGTGAACCATGCAATTTTACGACCAAAAATAGGAATGAATTTAAGGTCCATCAACTGAAACACACAAACCCTGCGGCAATAAGGGTGTACTTATGTGATTTGTGTGGTTATAGAACAAAACACAGGAGTAGTCTTCAGTGTCACCGATTGAAACATGTGGATTCTTCAAAAATTGAAAATAACAAATGTGACGTGTGTGATTTTGTGACCACGTCTAATTCCAAACTGAAGGGCCACCAATTGAAACACATGGATCCTTCCCAGGTGGAGATGCTCAAGTGTTATTTGTGCGATTTTGAGACTAAATACAAGAACTGTATGATACGCCATCAGTTCCAACACTCAGATCCCTCAAAAGTACAAATGTACCAGTGTGATTTGTGCGACTTTAAAACGAAATATAAGAACAATGTTAGGTCGCATCGTGTGAGAGTCCATGATAATTCCTCAGAACGACAACTGTTCACATGTGGATCGTGCGATTTTACGGCTAGAAGTAGGTATCATTTTAAGATGCATCAACTGAAGCACACAAACCCTGCGGCAATAAGGGTGTACTTATGTGATTTGTGTGGTTATAGAACGGTGTATAATGGCAAACTTGAGCGCCATAAATTAAAACATGCAGATTTCTCAGATGTTCAGATGTACACGTGTGACTTGTGCGATTTTAGATCCAAATATAAAGATAATTTCAAAATACACCAGTCGAGACATGCCAAGCCTCCAAAAGCGTAAAGACCTAAATGTGATTCCGCATGTAATAACCAACTTGCGCACCGCAAGACCAAATGCTCAGACCCTGCGAGAATATACAATTGCGATTTGTGTGATTTTAAGACAAATTATAAGGGTTGCCTTAAGGCACACAGTTTGAAACACTCAAACCTTCCTGGCACTTCCGAGATGAGGCTGTACCAGTGTGACAAATGTAAATATGAAAGCAGGAATAGAAGTATCTTTATAAAACACTAGCTGGTACACAGGGACCTCTCGAAAGTGCATTCATACATGTGTGATTTGTGTGATTTTAAGACTAAATATAAGGCTAGTCTTAAGTACCACAAATTGACCCATGAAGACTCTTGAAGTGCAATTAACGATATTTTAAGTTCAAATGTAAGAAGGACCTTCCCACACATGAAAACTATTCTGTCCATTTTAGATATTATGGAAATAAATTGTTCTTGGTGAAAAGTTCTCGTGTTCAAATTTACAAAAATGTAGTTTCAACTAAGCCATCATACATCAGGTGTCTCATTTTAATGGAAGCTGCTTAATACATAAGAAATTATTCATTATATAAAAATATTGAAATAAAAGTTGGAGCATTATTTTCACATCAAATATAAAGACTTAGTCAAGCCCCACTAATCACATTCTCAAATTTCAGAAGTACTTTGTGGGCTTTAATAAAAAATATGACAGTTGTGGATCACACTAGAGGAAAGACTCGAAGTCTTCAGAAGGACGAATGTACATGTGTGATTTGTGTGATTTTACGCCTAAAAATGGGAACAAATTCTATATTGAAATGGCAAAATAAAATTCGTAATTGGATTGTTTGTCTGTTTAATTAGATCTAGTTTGTTACAATATTTGATATATATTGCGTGTAATTCAGTTAATTTCCGAACGGGCTTTTCTCAGTAGTGCAAATGTTTCAGGATGTATACTAATCCTGGAAAATGGGAAAACCTAGAATTATCAGGGTATTGCATAGATCTAGAAATGTATGAAATTTTCATTTTTTTTTTTTTAAATAAAGTCAATAAATATATTTTTTAAGTTTTATTTGAAATCCCCCAGAATGATATTATAGTGAGGGTGACATGCTTATGAGAAACTTCATAATTAGTAATTTTCCTTAGCATTACATTAGCTCATTATGTTGGTAAGTTGTCAGTGTCAACAACGGCCAATCATATCTACCAGTCGCATAAGAGTCTACAGGCACTGGACTTAATTTCTACCAAACAGCAAAGCAATTATCTCATTCTATCAACTAATCGTAACTTTGAATTTGTGTATGCTATAGTCCACCTAAAAATGAGAGTTGAACGACCTTCCATTGTGCAGATTCATCTTTGGGCAGATCATACTATTGTTATTTGGAAAAGGTTATGAATAATTTATATATGGATGGAACTTTTTGTTTTAATAAAGATCCAATAGCACGAATTCACATTAAACAATCACAGAAACACTTGTTGCGTATAAATTAATCTACTACTTATAAAACAGTAAAAAAAAACATTAAGAAAAGGGTTACATTAATGCTAATATACTCCTCAAAAAGCATGTACGTGAGAGAGATAAGCTTGTACGTATGCATAAAGCTGTAAAATGATGGAGAATTTTCATAGAACTAAATCAGAAGGAAGATCCTTCTTCCTTCTGGTTTATGTTCAACATATTTTTTTACATAATTTTCTCAAAAATGTTTGTTAGTTGTTGGTTGTCGCATGTTTTTCAACATTTTCAACAGAAATATTACAAAACAAATTTGAGAAAATTCTTGTTTTTACGAACACCATGCATATGCATGTTTAGAAATGAGTCTGTAAATATCACACTTATGTAATTCGTATAAGCTTACTTGCTGTAAAATACATGACAGTAATTAGTAACTGGGTTTGTAAACGCAGCCCTGGAATAGTGGAATAACGGCGCCATCTTTCTCTACTTGCAAGAAGATCAAGAAAGGGCGATCTGCTGTAAACTCTTCTGTAGGTTTCTTTTCGGCATCAAGTTCTATATCTGAAAATTAAATTTTATATACAAATTGAACGTCAATTACTTTTAGAATTTACAATAATTTTTTTGGGTACTACTTTGAATAAATCCAAAGTTTGTATTGTGGATAACTTGATTTTTTTCTTAATAGAACTCATGTATCAAGATATTTAATTTTACAATTGTGAAATATTTGCGATTTTCATTTTTTGTTACTATTTTCGCATTGGAAAATGGATAATATAACAGTTTAATTCAGGTAATTTATAAAATTATTATTAAAATTACAAAATTCAGATAATTTATAGAATTTAAAAAATCAAGTTATCCATGGTCTAAAATTTGGAACCCTATATAATTAAAAATAATTTTAAAATATGGAGAAATTGATTTGGCGCGACTTATTTGGGTCACTTTTTAGTATTTAGTCCAACCAAATTATGCTTGGAGAAAAAAAAAATTGCTACCTGGACTTTTATAAGTGGAAATGGTAAAAAGGCATGTATAATAATAATAATATAATGTATAAACCTAAAAAAATTAAATGCGTGAGCAGGAATGGCGGAGGGTTGGTTTGGGGGGTTGAAAAGTTATGAAAAATTGTATCATTGGGATTTCTGGCGAAAGTTGACGTCAAACAAAAAAGTATCCAATACAAAAGTTGTAGATCATGCAAAAATCTACAACTTTTGTAGTAGTCATTTTTTAACATAATCTTAAAATTTCCGAGAAAAATGCGAAAAACAGTTTTTTTCCTGATTTTTCGTTTTTTATTTCTCATTTCCGCAAAAATAATTTAATTTCGACAAAACTTGGTGAAAGTATACCTATCTCTGTCTTAAATAACCTCAATTTTTTTTAAATAAAAAAATCAAGAAGTTTCCGAGATATTCATTTTTTTTGGCCTGAAACACTTTTTTTTCAAAGAAAAATTCTACTTAAAAAAATCATCGTACAGAGTTCTGCCGGTAATCATTTTTTTCGTTTTGACATATACTTTTTGGTGAAATAAAAAAATCTGTAATCACAGTTCAAAAACATGTTCAAAATTACAAAAGTAAAAAATGACTTGCAGCA